CCGCGCGCGAGTCGTTCGCACAATTAATCTCTAAAAACTCTGTCGAATTCAAGCATGGGACGATTAAAAAAGGTACGTACTTGAAACAATATTATTATTCCGACGAAAACAGAGGATCGATCCCTTGAACAAGCCGTCTCAATTGTCATTCGCTTTCCGTGCGGGGAAAAAAGAAAAACCTGTGGCTCGCGACGCGACGACCGTCGTCGTGATATCGAATATTATCCTAAATAAAAACTATATTATCCTCGAACGAGAAAAATTTACAGTCGTGCTTCGTTCTGAAATTGGAAAGCTCGGCTCAAATAATCGTAATCGAGTTCGCCGATTGATCGGGAGCATGTTTCGCAAATACGTCTAGAAAAGTGTCCTTAAAACGTGTGTTCGTGTATTTATGTATGCGTGTGTGCGCGCGCACACACGGGTATGCCGACGACAACGACGACGTCTCGTAAATTTGTGTTCCGGTAAAATCGGCAGGAAATATCTAATAAAACTCGCCACAAGTTCACACGGTTAGCGCGCGGTTTCGTTCGCGCGAACTCGAAGAAAAGAAAAAAAACACATATATGTATACATGTATCTATATATATATATGTATATATATATCTATCTATATTTCGTACGTGTATATCGCAATCCTGTGTGTCACCAACGTTAAAACGATCATCGGTAATCCAGATCGAAGCTGATAGATCGCGACGACGGTGATCGATGTCGAAAAAAGAGAAACTGAAAACGCTGTTGTTTTTTAAAGCTTTCGGGAATTAAAGCGTCGACGGACGATACCGGACGACAGTGGAGAAGACGGGCTTCGGTGATTCGTCTCCCGATTCTGGGTCACCTGATCCTCGATGTTTCCTTGTTCGCGCGACGTCTTTAAATGCCTCGGAACTCTGGAAGAATGCCTCGCGAGAAAGAGATCGCGCGGGAAAACGATATCGCGGGAAACACAGTTTTTCACGGTTTGAAAATGCACAGCTCCACGTCGAAGATTTTTCATCGTTTCGAGCCGAGACCGAGCGTGCGCCGAGAGCTTCGGCGAGCAGAGAGCGGCGCCGATCTACGCGCCGATCTACGCGCTGATCTACGCGCTGATCGAATCGAGGAAACGTCCGTCTGCGAGAGCAACGAACGATCGAATCCGGGTTCTAAAGCAGCGACAGTTTCGCTTCTTTTTTGGAGAAGAAAAATTCACGTGCGCGACGTTCCAAATCGATGTAGAACGCGATCGTTCGCAGAGATCTCGACTCGCCGGCGACGATCACAGCCGGTGGATCGATTCCATCGCCGATTCCGTTTTTCCTCGACCTCGAAAACAGATTCGCGCGAGCTGCATCGTTTTTCGGAACAGAGAAAATCGACGATCTTGCATCGCAGCTCGCGCGAAACCGAGACTCGATGTCCGCGAACCGCGTCGAGAATAGCCGCCGAAATCTAGCGAAGTTCGAACGAAGCTCTACACGAAGCTCTACACGAAGGATCCGAGTGTCTGGGGAATTGTCCAAGAGCGTCTCGAGCTCCCCAAGCGAATCGTCCTCTATCACAGTCTGTCGAACCTAAAAGAAAAGCGACGTCGCGCCGCAGGAAACTGTCCGAACTTCCGAAAACTTTCGACTCGCGTCGTCTCCGCGCCCGACGAAGCTCCGATCCACAGTGATCCGATTAATCCGCGACTGCAGCACCATTCAGAATAATCGAAGAATCAACGACGATGATCACCGGCGACAGCGTGTCTTAAAAATCGCCGAGCCTATTCGACGAAAGAAAGCTCTGTGCGGTTAATTTCGCTCGATGTGTTTGAAGTCTCCTCGTTCCGCGGCCTCTGTCGCCGAGTTGCCGCTAGGAATCGGGACGCAGCGAGACGAGTCGTTTCTTCGAGTCGCATCGATCTTCAAGCTCGACGTCGAGGAAAGACGCTCGAAGTCGACGCGCGATCCTCGAACGCTCCGCTCGCGAAGCTCCGGTCTTCCGAGCTACTTCCGCGATCTGTCCGGCAGAACAGCGCGATCCCTGCACTAGATCATAACCGAATCGTTGCCATTCTCCTAGCATCATAATCATCCGGCACGACGACATGATCATCCGCAATCGACGCGCTTCCTCCAGAACCGCGCTTCGTCCCAAGAACCTCTCGCCGACGACGCGAGCTTCGAGCAACGTCGACGACGCGATGTAAATGTTGTCTCAAGACCTGCTCGAATTCGCAGGAGAGCGTCTTCCGCCGCGAAGGATCAAGGATCGGCTCGCGCGATCTCGAAACGATGAAACTTTTCGGCGACGAGGAGGCTGCGCGACGCGCGCGAATCCCGAAAGAAAGCGCGGCGTCTTTTGGTGTTTTTTTTTCGAGCTCGATTCGAGAGATGCGCGGGATCGTCGTTGCGTTATCACCGACGGTGACGATAGAGAATATCGTGCAGCGTGAACAGCTCGGCCAGGGTGACACGCGCGAACGGTCGAAAAAGACGGACACTAGCGACGAGGACTGAAGTAGTGGTTGTTAAGCTAGACTCTCTCGGTGGTAGTAGATCGGCGTAGAAGCAGCCGGATAGAAGTGCACGGAGCGCACACCAGTCGGTCTGGCTCTCCTTAGCATTAACACGCGATATACCAGAAAAACCAGTTTGCAGGCTTTTTATTAGGCCTTTACTTTCGCCTGCGAACTGAAAGGAAGAGTGAGCGATTGAGCGAGCCAGCGAACGAGGCCTGCTAGACTAACCGATGAGCGAGCGAGCGAACGAGTAAAGTGACTGACTGAGCTAACTAACGGGGTCACCAGTCGATACGGACGCGAGCATACATGTAAAGAGAGGGACGCTAGTATTCCGTACACATACACGTTCTCTCTCTCTCTCTCTCGCTCTCTCTCTCTCTATCATTCATTCTGTCTCTCTCTCTCTCTTTCTCTCTTTCGCTCGCTGTCTTCGCGCGCGCGCACGGCGCACGCAAACTCGAGACCACGGAGATCCGTGTCCAGTGTGTTGTCTCTGTGCGTGTATAGAGCATATAGACGCGCAGACACATAATCCGCGCCAACACACACATGCACGCACACGCCAACGAGCCCGGTCGCGGAGGCACACGCGCTCGCATAACCGCGCGCGCGCGCGCGCGAGCACGAGCAAGAACGCGTTTCGAGCGAGAGCGTCGGTGCGCTCCGCGCGGTATTAAATAATTACGGTATCTAATAAAGAAAGTTATGCAAGCGGTCGCCGCAACGAGAGTCTAGGGTCGCCGCGCAAGGATCGCTCGATCGCGTGTCAAATCGCCGGCGTGATCGCGCGTGCGCGCGCGCGCGCGACAGCGTCCAGAAAGATATGACGCCTTCTGTGTTCGCAAACGCGGAGTCTCGCGTCCTTCGACCGGCACATCAAGGCTTACACAGGCCCCGTTCTAGCTTTTCAATTGTTCTCGCGTGCGCCTCCGAAAACCGAAAGAAACCTTCGCGACTTCCACCCTGTCTCCGTTCCAGCTCGCGAAGTCATCTCGTTCGACGGCTCGAACGCCACTCGATCGCGCGCGCCCGACTCGCGCGGGCTTCGCTCGTTTTCCCGGCAACGCCGAGAAACCCGAATTGGGCCTCACCTGGCCGCGCGAGGCTCGTTCTACGTGTCGCGCCGATCGCTCATTCCCGATTTTCCAAAATTTTATCACGTTACATAGTATCTAAATTGAAATGTGTTCACAGCCACACATTAATATTTATACATAGATTTATACATGTATTTATATATATACATATATATATGCATACATATATATTTATATATATACATATATATATACATATATACACATATATATAAATATATACACATATTTATATATATTTATAATATTTTTGCTTGCAAACGCCACGGCCGTAAATCGTTTCGCTCTCCGTTTCTTTCGTAATCGTTACCACTACTTGCCCCCCCTCCCCCTTTCCCAAATATTTTCTCGTCACAACGCGTCCCCGACAACACGTACGCGCTCCTTCCCCCCGTCGTCTCGTTACGCATTATTTTTTTTTATACAGCTTTTTTTCCATT